TGGCAAAGTGTCAGGGTGCTTCCAAAGTGCCATCAACCAGGGACAAGCAGTTGCGGAAACTGTCCAAGGCCTCCAGAGGCCTGCACCCGTCTACGGGTGAAGTCCTTTCCTGTATGCAGGGCCCCTCTCCCTCCTCGCCTTTGTCCTCCCCTCAGGTGGCCGCCACTGCCGATGGTGGGGGCGTGGGGCGGTCGGGTGGAGCGGGCGGGGGGGGAGTGTCGGATGACTCTGACTAATGTTTTTGCTCTTTCGGCGTCGGCTGCTGCCGTCGCCCGCCGCCGCCGCTGGTGGCCGCCTCCTGTGCGCGAAGTACAGCAAGCTCGCGCCAGGCGCGCCCTGCTGTCTCCCGCGTGCCCACCTTCCCTAGCCTAGGGTTGTTCGTTCCCGCGGACGACCCTCCTGTCGGCGCCCACCACCTCCTCTTTCTCCTCCTCTTCCTCCTCCTCCTCCTCCTCCTCCCCCTGCCCTCCCTCCTCTTCCTCCTTCTCCTCCTCCTCCTCCTCCTCCTCCTCGGGGGCCTCCTCTGGATCCTCTCGAGCCTCTGGGGCCTCTTCGGACACAATCCCTTTTCGAAAGACTGACCCGAACAGGTGAATTAGTGGACGGGGAAGGGGGCCCCCACAAACTTCTTGGATGTGGAATCTATGCCTTCCCGCCTTCCCTGTCCCTGCAGCACGAAGACAGCGCGCAGCCAAGTCCTTGACCTGTTTCCTCGCGTGGCAACCGTACTGCCTGCAGAAATACGAATCTTCACCGATCACCCGCATCCTATGGGTGGCGTGTGTCCTGGCCAGCACTCTTGACATGCCAGGACACTACTGGTGGATTATCGCACCACGCCGAGCAGCGTTGGCTCCGCACACTCGGCATCCCCACCTCCCGTCAGCGTTGTGAAGGAGGTGGCCTCGATCTGAAACTGTGAGCTGGAGCACCATTAGGGGCTCGTCTACCTTTTAAGGCTCTTTGGGGACATTGACCCTCGGGAGCCTATCTACATCAGAAAATCCTACTTCGCTAAGCTGCCTCAAGGAGCCTGCCAGGAGCCTCGTAAACTGCCTACCGAAATTCTGTACAGCCTCCAGCCGCCGGTCCATTTGAGGAGCTCCTGGATGTTCCAAGGCCCCCAACCTCGCGTACTTATCGCCCCGCAAATTCCCTGGGAACCACGAGTCCGCGAAATCATAATTTCGAAACCAAGCCCTGCTTTTTGTGCGATGGCACCCACTGAAGATTTACATTGTCTCTACCAGCATCCTCCAACTTCAACTTCCAGACTATCTGTTGCCAGACTTTCCAATCAAATTCAGAAGCTCTACACATCATGTGGGGCCCTTTTAACGACCTACCAGCCAAGTTATTGTGCTATGTCACGACCGTGGCCTTCGTACCCATGAGGCACAGGCCATGTAAAACGCGTGGTGCTCGGCCTCGCCTGCACTCTGAACTGGCCCAGGGACTGGGCCATATGCAACTGCCGACACCTGTTCGCTGCCCTGCTTGAGAGAAACGACTGCCTAACCTGCTCTCGTCATCCACTCCACCCAGGGCTTGGTGCCCGACCCGTCAATGAAGATGCCCTCTCCTAGATACCTGCATCCCAGCAAGCCGCGAGGAGGGAAGGTGGAGACATGGCATCTCGCATACTATCCGTCATTCCGAGCTCAACTAGCTGGTTGCCATCGAAAACTCGGCCGATCGAAATAAGCTCACAGCAACCTTGATTTCGACGCCACACCTCCAAGCCGTCGCAGCCGCACAGTATGTGAGAAATGGTGTTTGCCGTTGCGCTTCTGGCAGGCGGCCCACAAGACATCATGATACATCTTCTCACGCGCCTCCTCCAAATCGATCAAACCTGATGCCGAACTCGTTCCGATAGACATAGCTGCCCCAGCCTGGGCCGCCTGCTGCCAGACGGACTGCTCACAATTCTTCCCCTTGGGGCCGCGCGCGCGCAGTCCCAGTGGTTCTCGCGCTACCACTGCATGGCCTGGCAGTGGCTGATGCGGCCGAGCAGCCTGGCGCGCTGCCAGGGTGCCTATCGGCCGATAGCTGCCCTCAGGTTTCTTCAATTACGTAACCAGCGAATAGGTACGAAGGACTCCACAAACGACAAGAACTCAGCAAAGACGGCCAGGCCTGCATCGCCAAGCTGCCTGGGGCTCGCGGGGCCTCGGCCGTCGATGCAAGCGGCCGCGTTCTTCTCGAATTTCTCAGGGGCTTCTCGAACCTCCATGACAGCGGGCGCCAGCGGGGGCTCGCCTTGCGGAACGTTGAGATCTCAGGCCCGGTGTATATTTCAGGGTGGTATATAAGATTCCCAGGGGGTCCATCGTCTTCATGCAACGCCACCGCGCTTCCATAGGGTGCTTGAGCAATTATTCGCGACCGGATGCGGCCGCCATCTGCACGCATGACCACGTGGCAAGTTTTTGCGCTTGGCAGGGGCAGGCAGTGGCACCCCTGCCAGGGCGGTCGCGCGCAGGATTTGTTCATTTCCCATTGCCGCCTGGCGGCGGTGCATATATTGGGGCCTCGCAGGCAGTTCCCGAACCAGGTCCTGGACCCCAGCCGATCCCCGCGGATGTTCACGCCCATGAAGATACGACAGCTCTTCCACCCCGACCTAGAACCTCCTGGGGGCCCTGGGCCCCAGGCTGCCTTTGGGAAAGGGTCCCGAGATGCGCTGCTTCAAAATCGGCTTCTCTACCAGCTGGAAAGTACCTCTCCCGCAGTACTAAGAACGATTGGATGCCTCGATGCCTAGCGCGTCGCAGAGCCCCCGATCCACGGCGACGCGCGTCTCCTCATGCAATTGGGGGAGCCCTTCACCTGAGGGCTGCCGTCGCAACCGTTCAAACTTGCGCGAAAACTGCGCCCAGTCCTGCGGCGGCGGCACGGGGCCCAAGTGCTTCTGCAGCGGGAGCGGCATCGGCACCCGCAGCGCACTCTTCGCCTTCTGGTGGGCGCAGGTGCCGAGCGTCAGAGAAACTGGAACATGCGTCTTCTTGCTGGAATATTCGAGCCTCTCGCGCGCCTTCACTTCGCCAGCGAGATCGTTAGATACAATGAAGGAATCAAGTTCCCGCCAAACCTTCCCCGCGCGACAAGTTGGCTTCCCCGAGTTGACTACCGCGGCTCTGAGCCCCCTCAGGACAGGCAACTTCTGGACCGACGAGACATCAGCCGCATCCGCAGCTATCACGAAGGACCGCTGGCGCTGTAGAGAAACTTCCCGAGCTGGTTGAGCAACTGTTTCCCTTGTGCTCCCTGGGCCCCATTCGCCGTCAGGAAAGTAGCGGCTGCGCGTTTAAAACCCACCGCGCACGCGCCCGCTCCCCCGCGCGACGGTAGTGCGAGCATGGCGTAAGTGATGTGCATTTCCCAGCACTTCGCATATTCCTATGCGTTGCTTGACTGCGACGCCCACACTTGCGGAGGCGCCGCCTGCTGCTGTTCTGACCGCCGGGCTGAGACGAAGCTCCCATCCCTCATCGGCCGCCGACTTCTCAGACCGTGAAACATTTGGCGAGGGCATGCGAGACTCCCGAACGCAAGGGATTTCTGCGTGCCGAAAAAGGTCGTCAGTCAGCAAGGCCTGCGCCCCTGCCCACCTTGGCGCGTTGGCCGTGGCGATTCGCCGCGGCCTCCTCGGAAGGGGCGCTGCTAGCGCGGGCCGCTGCAGCCGCGCTCGTGCTGCCCCTCCTGCTGCTCGGCCACCTGCGAGCCCTTGCCCGCGCCGGCGCCTTTGCCCTCCGAGAGGATCCCGAGCGCCTTCGCGCGGAAGTCCCTCTCGTCGGGAATTGGCGCGTCAACCGCGAGGCTGGGCGCAGCCGCTGGCGCAGCTGCTGACCTGCTGACCCTGAGCTCACCGTGGAGGGCGCCGCGGGCGGGTCTCCCCCCCCCCCCCCCCCCCCGCGGGCAAGGGCGCGACCTGCGATGGGCCCGCCACCGGCACGACCTGCGATGGGCCCGCCACCGCGTGCAACTCCTCGACTGCCGTCTTGCATTACCGCTCCTGCTGCTCGTGCTGCTGCATGGTGTCGCGCAGCACCTCCTTCTTGCCATCCAGCACCGCCTGCATGCCGATGATTTCGTCCGTGCGCTGCTGGATGGAGACCGCATGCTCCGTAACCTAATAGGTGCTAGCAGCTCCCTGCTGCGGCGACACCTGCTTCTGGTCCTTGATCTCCAGCATCTTCTGGTAGAACTCCGCCAACCCTGAGTTCTGGGCCTTGTGCGCCAGGCTGATGAGCTGGCGCGCCTCCGCGATGGTGAGATCGGGAGCTGGGTCTGTGCCTGCTTGGACGAGCCCCACTGGCAGCGGCATGCTACGGATGTGGCCCAGACCAAGAGGCACGCTAGAGCAATCATAGCCCTTCCCAGACTTCCCACTCCCAGCAGGCGTGCCCTTTGCATTTTCCTTGCCAGTCTTCCAGTGTTTGCCACAATGCTTACAGTGGTCCTTGCCGAACTACGTCCGGAAGCACTTTCACAGCTTCGCGCTGGTGCCAGTGCCATGCCACGGGCTGGCGGATGACATCCGCGCGAATCTGCGAAAACTGTGGGTGCAAAAGTGACCGACAAAATGACCCTCACCCTTGGCAGGGCTCCTGATCGAGGGTCGTGTGGGCCCCCCGACCACCTCGAGCCCCAACCCCAGGGAAAGCGAAGGCCCTGGGCAACGGCTTGAGCCCCAATGGCTACGGATCTCCTCCTCCTCCTCCTCCTCCTCCTCTTCCCCTTCCCCCCCGTCCCGTCGCGTGAATCGTTTCTCGGCGGGCGCGCCACGCCGGAGCGACGGGCAGGCTCGAGACTCACATCTCCGAGCGGCCTCCCCGGCTCGCCAGCGGAGCGCCCACGGCTACGGCGCTCGCCTCGCTTCGCTTCCTCGGGCACTCTCCTCCCACCCCCTCCCCCCTCTGACCCCTGCCTCGCCTCACCTTCCCACCTCTCCCCCCCGTCCCCCCCCAAACCCTCCCTTCTGGTCTCGCCCGCAGACGACGCTGGAGCGCCTCAGCGGCGAGCTGGCCGCCATGCGGACTGGGCCGGCGACCTCCGAGGCTGCCTTCGTCCCGTCCTTCTCGTCTTGTTCCTCCAGCTTCTCCTCGTCCTTCTCCCTCGTCCTGCTCCTTCGCCCTGTCCTTTGTATCGTCCTCCTCCTCGTCCTTCACCCTCCTCTCCTCGTCGCAAGCGCCCTCCTCCTCTCCCCCGAAGGCGGCCGGGGGGCGCAGCCCCCCTCCGTCCACGCTCTGCTTTTTGACGCGGGCTTTCGCTGCCTGGAGGTCGTCGATCCTCTTGGCGGATGGAAGGCCTCCCCGCTGGAGAGGTCGAGCCTCCATGTGCCGGAGGAGGGCAGAGACGTCCAGGGCGGAGGAGGAGATTGGCCTCCCGAGCGGGGGGCGGGGCCTGCATCGTGCAGGCGTGCGGTCCTCCCGGGGGGGGGGGGAGAAGGGCGGGGGTTATGATGCTCCACCCTACTTGAGCCGTGATCACCAGGAAAAAAAGTTCGAGCACCAAGAAAGTTACGAAACTGGAGGGTTTTCACGTGTCGGGCCTGCTCGTTCGACGCTCTTTTGACACTTTCCTGGGTGCTCGAGATTACTTCTGGGATGTGGTCCTTAAGTACGATGGGAACAACAACATCATACTTATTTTGATGTCTTTTTCATCCCGTCTTCTTTTCGGTCCTTCGAGGAGGGGTTGCCGCTGCAGCGTGCGCCTCATTTTAGGATCGGTGCTTTTCTCACTTCGTTCAGGGCTGCAGCGCGGGCCTCTTTTCTGGATCCGATCCGAGTCTTTCCTCATCGTTGTCGTCTTCCTCCTTTCCCGTCTTCCCGCCTTCCCCCTGGTCCTCCTGCTCCTTCTGCTCCAGTTTCTGTTGCTGCTGTTCGTCCTCGTCCTCCTCCCTCCTCCTCCTCCTCCTCCTCCTCCTCCTCCTCCCTTTTCTCCTGCTCATCCTCCTGCTCATTCGCTGCTCCTTCTCCAAAGTATGTAGCTCCCCGTTTCCGACGTCGCATAACACAAGGGGGCCCTTTGGGGGAATTCCAAGTCAGCTATGACACGCTTCCGCGGAGAGAGAAACAAACATGCCATGCGAAAGGATAGTTCGTGTGGGGTAGATGTCGGATATGGCACAAGCGCGCCTGCATCCCTCCTCGAAATCAAATGCAAGTTGTGTTCCGACGTGGCGACGCCCCCAGACCCCCAATTTCAATGTTGACGCCGACACTGTCGACTGCAATTTTTTAGTTGACCCCGCAGGCCACCCTGAGCGCGTCCATCAACATTTGAATTCGTGGGCGATGGGTCGGCTAGAAACTTGCGTGTGATTTCGCGGAGGATTGTATCTTGTCTTCGTCCTTTCCCTAAACTGCATCCTCACCCTCTCTCCTCCGTCCCTCCCTCCCTCCCCTCCTCCCTCCTCCCCTCCCCTTCTTTCTCTTCGTCTTCGTTCCGTCTCCTCCCCTCCTCCCGACTCCTCACCCCCCTCTCCCTTCATCCCCCCTCCCTCCCATGGTTGCCGATGGTGTTAACATCGAAGATGAAATACTGCATGCACATGACCAAGCTTCCGGAGTTCCTCGCGGATTTCTTGAATCGACGCTGGGCCCCCCTGGCGGCGCTTCCGGCGTCGACCCTGGCGCGCTCTGCGCGCCGGGGAGGGGGCTCTTCTTTCATTCGCGAGTTTGAGACCCTTTTCTTCAGGGTCCAGCGATAACCCGGGGTATCGGACCCGCCCGCCCCCCGACCCCCCCAAACGTCGGACCTTGTTGGTTGCGCAGGTCCGAAGGGGGTACGCAGTTTGGGTGCGGGTGGGCATCCGTGGGGCTGCCCATAGCGAAACGTTTGGATCATTGGCTGGCGCCTCCCCCATCCTGCCCCGCATCGGATTCGAGAAATAGAAAATGGTCTCGATAGGGGTCCTCTTTCATTCGTGAGCTTATCCTGACTCGTCTTCCAAAACTCGGGGAGGGCGCGGGGGTGAAGGGTTTTGCCTTGCGATTTGCCCCTGCCGCGGGCAAGAGCTTCGAGGCAGCAGCCACGATGAACGGGTGTGCCCACCGCGCAATCTGGGGTGGTACCATCGGGAGATTGGGCCCGCCAACGAATCCAAGGCGCCCCCAGAGCTGTATGAGCAACGCAGACAAGCGGGTCGAATGCGTCAGGTCGGCGCGTAAGCTGCCCGCGCAAGGTCGCGCGTAAGCGCCCTCGTCTCCAATGTGGCTTGCCGCGCTGGCGGCCCGCGTAAGCCACCGCGTCAGGCCCGCGGAAGTCACCGCGTCAGGTCGCGATGTCAACGTACGTAAGACCCGTTTTTAATCGGCACTCACATCGCCTCAAATCCTCCCTTTCGTTCCCCCCCTCCTCCCGGGATCCCCGTCTCCGCCATGAAGCTAGGTTTGCGCAGGATCGGTTGGTCCATGCCATCCTTCGCCCCGTCATGGTGGACATTTTGGATAGCGGTTCCACCTATTTTGGTCTGTATCGCCGATCAATCGGCGATGTATCGCCACTTCCAGCTCGATGCTTCCCCCCTGAGTTCGCCCCCCGCCCCTTTCGTTCCCCATCAGATCCGACGTTGCGAACAAAATTGAGACATCGCGAACAATCACGACCGGAGCCGTGGATTTCATCTTTCCGCAGCACTTGTCGAGCCAGACCGATCCGTGATGGCCAGGGAGACCGAAACCGGGCGAAACCGCCCGGTGCGAAAATAATTGCAACGCCCGGATCTTCAGGGAGGAGGAGGAGGAGGAGGAGGAGGAGGAGGAGGAGGAGGAGGAGGAGGAGGAGGAGGAGGAGGAGGAGGAGGAGCAAGAGGAGCAGGAGCAGGACCAGAAGGACCAGGAGGACCAGGAGGATCAGGAGGGCCAGGAAGAGGACCAGGAGGAGGAGCAGAAGGAGGACGACGAGGAGGACGACGAGGATGACGAGGAGGAGCAGGAGGAGCAGGAGGTGCAGGAGGAGCAGGAGGAGCAGGAGGAACAGGAGGAGCAGGAGGAGGAGGAGGAACAGGAGGAGCAGGAGGAGGAGGAGGAGGAGGAGGAGGAGGAGGAGGAGCATGACGAGCAGGTGGAGCAGGAGGAGGAGGAGGAGGAGAAGGAGGAGGAGGAGGAGGAGGAGGAGGAGGAGGCTTCCGCGCCAAGGCCACGCGCAAGACGCTCACCGCTTACGGCGACGAGCTGGCTCAGGCCGCCGCTCCCCGGGGACGGGCGTGCGCGCGGCTCCCTCCTGGCGGCCGCGCGGCCAAAGCGTCGCGGAGGCCTGGCTGACCCCTGGCAAGGTCTACTTTGGATTTGTCACTAAGCGTGGGGGGGTTACCCCCCCGACGAGGGCCAACCTCGCCTCGTCGTCGCGCCGCGTCGGGGGTCGGAGCGTCTTCGGCGCGCGGCGGCTGCCCGCAACGGTGTCGATGTGGGGCTGTCGGCGGGGGTGACGCCCCCCCCCCACGCTTATGAAGAAACTCGGAGTAGGCTTAGGTCGGGTATGTCCCCCTCCAGGCGGATTTTGGACGAAAACGCAAAAATAGTCAACAAAAATGTCAAACATCGTCCCCATATTATTTTTTGCTATTTTTGAATATTCTTCCTGTAAAGGGACAGGCCCGACTCAAGTCAAGGCCTCCCAAATGAGGGTCGAAGCAGCGCCTCGTAGTCGATACAGCATCTGGTAGCCGATGTGATAGCGCTGGTCTTCATAGGAGGAAGAGGTTCCCATACCGCCATCGTTCCCTTTTTGTTCCCTTTCGTGGGCCTCCTGGGAGGCCTTCGTCGCCACCGCTGCCTTCGCCTCAAAGTTCTGGTCAATACGCACCCTGGGAGAGGTCAGGGGAGTATCGGTATCGGTCTTTTTGTATAGTTTCCCCAGATGTAGCTTCGATTCTGCGTGGATTCGTAAGAGATAAGAAGATGGTATGGGAGGCTCTCACGCGCTGCAATAGAAGATGAGGCTCGAGCAGATGGGGGCGGAGGATCGCGCCGCATCGCCGATGCATCGGCGATGCGGCTCGATGTGGCGCCCGCTTTTCTCCACGCTGGCGGTGCCGATGCACCGCCGACGTCGCCGATGCACCGTCGGCAGCGCGGCGCGGTCCTGCGACCCCTTCTGCTCGGACTCTGTCTGGGAGGTCCTCCTCCCTCCCTTTCTCCCTCTTCCTCCTCCTCCTCCTACACCATTCGTTTTCCTTATGGATAACTCCTCCTTGTCGCACCCCGAACCTTCGCCTGAAACTTTCTACCATGTAACAGAGCTTCACGGATTAAGGGTGGGTCGTTTTCAAAGTGTGGGTCTCACTTCAGCGCCGTGCACAGTCGTTTCAAAAAGTTGCGAGAGATTCACGGATGGAGGGCGGGTGGTTTTCCAGAGTAAGGCTCTCGCCCCAGCGCCGCGCACATTCGTTGCACGAAAAGAGCTTCGCGGATTGAGGGCGGGTCGTTTTCAAATTGTGGCTCTCGCCCCGACACCGCGCACATGCGTTTCCAATGTTGGCGAGAGTTGCGCAGCTTGAGGCCGCTACCTTCTCAAAACGCAGCTCTCGATTTCGCGCCGCGTACAGTCGTTTCAAGCGTTTGCAAGAGTTTCATTGGCTCTCCGAGCTAACATGCCAGAAGCTGTGTTTTGGAACGGTTCGGGATTGTCAGGGCGCAACCGTTAGTGTGATTTGCGGTGTTGAAGTTTCAGGCTTTGTGTTTTGGCACGGTTCAGGATCGTCAAGACGCAACGGTCAGGTTGATTCGTGACGTTGAAGTCTTGAGAATTGTGTTTTGGTGCCACACGGTTGTCCCCCTCCGGGGCACGTACATCAGTAGAAATGAATTTTTGTAGGGGCCTATGAAAAAGGAGGTTGGAAGGAGGGCGTATGATTCCAACATCGCTGATGAGTCTTTGGTTTACACTGGCCCTCCTCCTCCTCCTCCTCCTCCTCCTCCTCCTCCTCCTCCTCCTCCTCCCCCTCCTCCTCCTCCCCCTCCCCCCCCTCCCCCCCCGGCCTGCCCTCCCCACGGCCTGCCCCTTGCCTCCCCGCGCGCGCGCCCCTGCCGCCCGCCCCAGTCCCAGCACGAAGCGGCATCGGGGCGCTACAGTCGGACCCGGGCCAGAAGAGCACCCCTCCAGAATGCGAGACCCTCCCCCAGAGATCCAACGCACTGAAGAAATCACGACGGAGGTTTTTCATCATTTTCGGCCTCTACGGGCCCTCGCCAGGACCCAGGACCATCAAAAAACGACTCAGGATGGAAAACTGGTCCTGGGGGATCGATCGGGACTCGCGGGGACCCCGCATTGAAAAAATCAAGACATCGGATCTCTGGGCCCGCCAGCCAAATTAAACCGAACATCCAAGGGTACCCTCGCCAGGATGCGCAAGAGCATCCAATAAGCACGAAGACCACTATAGGGCACCCTCCCCGAGCCGACCTCGATCTTGTGCAAGGGTCCGGCTGGAGGACGACGCGGCCGCGCCGCCAGAGCGTCGGGGGTGGCTTGGCCGACTCCTGCAGGTTTGCCCCCTCTCGTAACGACACCCTCGCTGAGGCGGCGGCGAACCCAGGGCGGTCCCCAGGCGGTGCTTGCAGTCAGGGATTATCCTTATTTCCGCTCTGAAGAACTGGGCCTGTCTGTCTGTCTGGCAGCTATTGTTGCCTCCGTCGCCGCCCCGTCGCCGCCCGTCGTCTGGGCCTGTCTGCTGGTCTGGCGGATATGTTGCCGTTGTCGCCGTCTCGTCGCCGCGGGAAACACATATTTGACCACATGGGTTGCACCACAGAAATTACACAACATGTATTTTACATCATTAAAACAAGAAGTGGGGTTCTACCCTCATCACCCCGTCGGAATTATCAGCTACCCTTGGGGCATTGCAATGTACAGATGCTTATGCCTCCTTGCTAATTTTCCACATGAGTCTGTATCATCCCAACCAGAACAGTATGGACACCCCCTCATCCTCTGCAACAAGTAATATGCGCGCACACTCGTTTATCACAAAGCATCAGGTTTCAATAATCCTTTACAAACAATTGGACGGAGTGCACACGCGCGCGAACACGCGCGCGCATGCCAAATTCCTCGAACCACCGCAGATTTCGTAAGGATTTCAAAATCGAGTGTCCCGAAGACAAATATAAAACATGGATTCGCAACAGAAAATTTGAACACACAACTTGCGCTCGCGCTCTTGCGAGTTGTTCAAAGTTTACAAAACATGCCGCCAAACGTGCCTCTCGCGCGCGCATGTCGAAATCATTCGAACGCCCTTGCGCGCGTGCTGGGGGGGGCACGGTCCGTGTCAGATCACACCATGTGGGCAGCTCGCGCGTCGGCCGCACGCGCATGCCGATTTTTTTCCACCATCTTCATCACCGACGCGAGGACGCCGTCATCGTCGCCACCAGCATCGCTACTATCATAACCGTGTCTACCGTTGTCGACGTTGCACTGATACCGCGCCTGCCCAAATTCCCGACTCGCACTGAAGTGCCCGCTGGGGTGTGCCCAGCGGTCAGAGCCACCGCGGCCGCGTCGGTCGCGCCAAACGAACTGGCCGCCGCTCGCGCGGGTTATCGCGGCCGAGAGATGCACCAGCCAACGCCCAGCACTCATCGCAATCGCCACCGCATGGGTTTCGCAAGCCCAGGAGCGGGTGGGTGGGCGGGGTGGATGCGCGAGCAGTGGAGTTGGCAATTCACTGCGAACACACATGAATTCCCCCTTTTTCCAAGAGAATAGACTCTCCCCCTCCCCCTCCCCCCCTGCGATTATCGATCCCCTTTTTCGTGTTGCAAGTTACAGATGATTCTGCCTCATCGTCCACCCTAGTTATGAATTCATTCACACCATGTCAGGGCGGCTGGTATCGACCCCCCCCCGTCATCCTCAGCAGCAAAAGTATTATGCGCGCGCTCGTTTATCACAAATCATCAGGATTCAAACACCTCTTGCCGAAAACATGTATAAAGCATTGATTCGCAACATCAGTTTCCAAACCGCAACTTTCGTTCGCGCTCTTGCGAGTTCTTCCATGGGTTTCAACCCGTGCTTTGAGACAGTGTTATCAAACGAGCTACGCGCGCACATGTCGAAATCGCTCGATCGCCCTTGCGCGCGTGCTGTTGTGACAATCCTTTGCTGACAATGGGGCGAGATACACGCGCGCGCGTCGTCGCGCGCGCATGCCGAAATCCGTCAAAAACCTGGGGTTCCGTAGCGATTTCAAAACCGAGTGCCCAAAACACATACAACAACACATGGTTTCGCAACATCAGTGTTCAAAAAAAAAACGTGCGATCGCGCTCTTGCGAACTCTCGAAGGGACCATCGGTTGTTCATCAGGTTCATAGAATTCCGCCAAACGCGCCTTTCGCGCCGCATGCCGACATCATTCGCACGCTCGTGCGCGCGTGCTTGGGGGCACGATCCGTGTCAAAAAAACCATGCGGGCCACTCGCGCGTCGGCCGCGCGCGCATGGCGAAGCTTTTTCTGAAACCTTCATCACTGACGCGAGGACGCCCTCATCGTCGTCGGCGTGTTCAGCATCGGCGCCCGCACTGGCCGCGCCGCTTTCGTTGTCGACATCGTCACCAGCATTGCGGCCGCGTCGGTCGCGCCAAACTAGTTGGCCGCTGCGCGCGCGTGCTTGGGTTGGCGCGGCCGCAGACATGAACCAGCCAACGTCAAGCACTCATCGCAATCGCCGCCACATGGGGTTTTGCAAACCAAGTTGCGGGTGGGTGCGCGGGATGAATGCGCGACCAGTGGAGGTGGTCAAGAGCGGTGCAGGGTAATCCATTTCACCACACAGGGTACCACATTGATTGCCCCCCGTATATTTCAACTGATAAATTGCATCATCTAGATTGCATCGTAGATCGTGTATCACATGCATTGCAACACGTAGGTTGCATCGCATACGTTGCACAACATATTGCACCACATGTATCGCACCACGTGGATTGGAAGATGAAGAGTGCAGAACACACACACACACACACACACACATGGTACAACACATATATAGCAAAGCATCGACTGCACAACATAGATCGCGCCACGCAGGTGCCACAACACACATATCGCACAACATCTGCATCGCACAGTAAGGGTTGCACCACGTAGGTTGCACAACACATAGATGGCACAGCATCGATTGCACCATGGAGACTGCAAGGTGCTAGAATTACATTGTTTGGGGTC